TAACATGCATACTTCTCCTTCCAATCAGCTGAGAAGAAAATGGTCCCAAGAAGATGATGGATTGACTGTCAGTCAGGTGACAACTGGAGAGAATCCTCAGCAGGTGTCTCTTCCACAAGGGATCAAATAGACTTGTTTCCTCTAAGCTAAAAGCTGGAAGAATGGTAATCACTAGAGGGAACACTGCTGACATCTACCTTTTTATTTAATAAAACTACTGCTGTAACATCAGGCTTCAGCCTCACGCTCATGAGAATGCGGTTATGTACAATGGTCATAATCCATAGCACAAATGCCATTAAAATAAATGGAATCTGTGCATGTGATCTCCTGTCATGTAGCTCTGATTCATTTCAGTAGCACTTATGGAGAAACTGCCCCATAATTATTAGAATTAATCATGAAGAAATGAGTGTAGAACAAGTCAGAAGGAATTTTAATATTTTTTGGCCTTTATAAATTCAATCTTGGCTGGATACCACTCTGATTAGATTGGAAAATACTCCAATGAACATTTCAGATTTTCACTAGAATTGTCATATCTCCTGAAGTTAATGATAACATTGATACATAGGGAAAAATGTTATTTGGAACTATTTCCCTCTCTGGTTTTGGCAAAAATCGTAAGAGAGAGAAGAGATATTTGGGAGGGGGGAAGGAAGGCAGGCAGGCCAGCCGGCTGGCTATCCAGCCAGCCAAATTTTGTCATCACTCCTTCATACATAGGAAACACCAAATTTTTCATTATTTATGTCCAAACTGAACAACCTGCAATATAAAATACTTTAATTTTCTCTGAAATATTGACGAGTTATCTTTTTCCATATGAAAAAAAATCCCTCCATGAAATAACACATCTCAGGGCTTCTCCCTGCAAGCAATTTTTCTATATACTGTAGTGTAAGAGAATGTGAGCATGTGAATTTCAACATTGCTGTCTGAAGAGATACAACAGAGAACATATCTAACTACTATTGTTTATGGGAGAGAACTAGGCCTTTGTATAAAAAAGTAACTCTGCTGAGTCTTTCCAGGGGTAATACACAGCTGTGAAAACTGGACACTTAGAAAGTACAAGACAGATATCTCTGAATTATGAACTTGGAGATGCAAAAACCATCACTCAACCAGACCTGGACTAATACAGGCTGACTGCCATTGCAGTAACAATCTGTAATCAAAAACCTGGTGAAGTCAAGCTTGCGAAGCATAACATCTTCTTTAAACATGTGATTGAATGCTAGTATAATTTTATATCAGATTTTCAGAGTATGGCCTAATACCTTACTACTGAATTTCAACAATATGCTATATATTATAATTTTTAAAATTCAGATTATTCTGTGAGCCTGCTAAAGCAAAGGGTTTGCTCAAAATCATCAAATGAAATCAAAAGGATTGAAGCAAAAATAGTTTTTTTTTATTCAAGTAAGCATTTATGTAGGATAGAAAGGGAATAAGAATGTGGGTAAAATATTTAAGAGATAAAGGACCTAAATCTGACTTTGGTGATATATCTATTTCAATTAAAATGATTTTTCCTCAATCATTTAGAAGCAAAAATCAGTATTTAGTGATGTAACCTCTTTTTGCATCTAAACAAGCAACCCACAACTCAGGCATAAAAAACTACAACTGGGGAGAGCTTGGAATTAAAAAATATACAGTGGTACCTCGGGATACGAACTTAATCCGTTCCGTGACTCTGGGCGTATCCC